CAAGCTAGTAAGAGAGGGCGATAGTTAAAAGAACAGTTCACTTGGTGTCAAGCATAAAAACATTAATACAAAGCAACATATGTGAGTTGTTAACAACTTTCAGTATGTTTTTACTATAAAATGTTAGTGTCCATAATAGGAAAGAATATATTTTGAGATATTCATTTTGTTACGTACTTTTTTCTTTCCTTCATATGATTATTTTTTTTTTTTCTGGGTAAAAGATCTGTATCATGGCTGTTATACAAAATACTGAAATTTTTCTTCCTTATAAAATGTTGAGATAGCAAAATCAGCATTCTAGTTTGAATTTATTTTGAGAAGTGAAAAATTTTTTAAGTAGGATATTTGCTTATAAATATTTCATGGCCTAATTGTATTAAATCATAATATATATTGCTTCAAGATATATGTGTATATACATATAATTGATATATATAGAGAGAGAAATCTACATATCCATATCTATCAATGAGAGAGACAGAGAGGGAGAGTTTGAAAACCTATCTTGTTTTTTAAAGATTTATTTATTTATACAAGAACCAGGGTACAGGTCAGAGGTGTGGGGGGTGAGAGGATTCACCAGAGCCAGAGTGGGGAGCAGAACATGCAGACTGACAAAATACACTGCTGAGGGGAGCAGCAGTCACGACAGGAGAGGTCTGCTGTGCCTTGTGGGTCTACCGTGCCATGTGAAAACCTATCTTAAAGAGTTACACAGGATACAATCTAGGGATCTCTCCTGCAATTAGATATATTTCTATTTGCCACTGCTTTTCAAAGTCTCCCCTCTACCCCTGCCATCCCAAGGTTATGGGAAATGTCTGAATACAAACATTATACAAATCAATACACTCTGCAGGAGGTTCTGGCTTTTCACAACTCTTCAATGTCTATCAATGAATCCTCACCCCCACCACACCTCCAGCTTCACATCAGCACCCATCTTATTGCACCTCTGCATTCTCACTGTCTCAGGAGGGCTGGCAGAAGATTAGAGATGGGACATGTGTGAGAGATGACATCCGTGGGCACAGTGACATGCTGATGGCAGGAACAGAGGAATGACAATAGTATTTCTGTTTGCAGTTGTCAGCCAGCTTCCTCAGAGCTCTGAATTGCTGATTCCAAACTTTTCAATTTAGGAAAATTACTGAGACAGATTATTGTTATCACTTCCTCTGAATTACATGGTACATTTTAAAATACCCTTTGGTACAGTTTGTCTATTGACTTAGCAATGTTTTCTAATTGAATAAAATTAAAATTGAAGATTTCCTCAATAATATGCCTCACTTAAATTGATAATATTGTGTGTTTTGTACCTCAGAAATAATCCTTTTATAATGAACTTATGATTATCTTCTGGGAGAGGATATGGTGAAACATACTTCCTGCTAGTGCATATTGAATTGTCATTGACTCAATTAAGGTTTTATGGGCAAAAAACATAATCTTTATTTACTCTGACCCAGTGAGAGTAGAAAGTAATGAAGTTTTCAGTGCAAATACTCAGTGAATTCAATTTTTCCTGCTCAGACAATATGTGCACCAGCAACCAAATGATAAAATTAACCCACTGTTTTTTCTCCCATCTGAGACAGCTGTCCTTATCCAGTAACTTTCATGAAAGGGGGTAGCCCATGTTAACTGAGAGTATTCAGCTTCTTCGGAGTCAGATTTTCATGTCCTTGCTGAACACTTGGCTTGTTTTTGTTTCCTAACTATTGTAAATCATACTGTAAAAAAGTGTGGAGCATGTAATTTTTTGAGTAGATGGTTTCATGTTCCTCAAATAGATGCCCAAAAGTGAGATTGCTGGGTCATATGGTATGTCTGTTTTTAGTTTTTGGTTAGTTATTTACATATTTAGTTATTTATGCATACAAGAACTGGGTATGTATAGGCCAGAGGTGCAGGGGTTGAGAGGATTCACCAGAGACAGAGTGGGGAGCATAACAGGCAGATCTACTGAAATGCAATGCTGAGGGGAGCAGCAGGCAAGACAAGAGAGGTCTGCTGTGCCATGTGGGTCAGCTCACTGGCCAGTCAGAGATTGAACTTTTGCTACAGTGACTGATGATAGCTTGATAGTACTGTGTCTTTAACTCATGTGCTACCAGGGAGGCCCCAAAATACTGCATTTTAAAGGTGTAATTTAGGATTTTTTGTCCATTTAAGCATGGGAAAAAATAATATTGAAAGCATAATGAAATACAGAAATTGTTATAATTGAATTTCACATATAGTTTACTGTGCTAGAAATACAGCACAGATAATTAGAAACTTAAAGCTGATCACATTAATGAAACATTCATTTCTTTTTTTTTAATATTTATTTATGCATACACAAACTGGGTTATAGGCCAGAGGTGTGGGGGGGTGGGTGAGAGGAGTCACCAGAGACAGAGGAGGGAACAGAACAGGCAAACTGACCAAAGTACACTGCTGAGGGGAGCAGCGGGAGAGTCAGGAGAGGTCTGCTGCGCCATGTGGGTAGCTCCCTGGCCGGAGATGGAACTCGTGCTGCAGTGGCTGTGGACAGCTTCATAGGTTGTGTCTTAACCCCTTGTGCCACCAGGGAGGCCCGAAACATTCATTTCTATTTAGTCTACTGAAGTTTTCAAGACTCCAGAGAATTAGATTCTAGGGATTCTAGAGATTGCAGCACCAGTAGGTACCTGTAAACAATTGACAATTGCGATCTGGAAGGCTGTTCTGTGAAGTATTTTTAGGGGAGTCTAAAACTACTGGATAAGAGTGAAATGATCAAGTAGTGATGCTTGCCAGGGATGTGTCAAGAAGAAGCTGTGATACAGTCACCCCCTAGCTGCCATCCCCATATCCTTCTTCAAGATTTGGCCAACTGTGGGATGTCGCCACACATTTATTAACACCAGGGCATATGCATCTGTATGCGGCTTGTCGTTCACAGAGGAGGGCACAGATTTAAAGTGGTTTTATTTTATTTTGCATTCAAAGTTTATGTGTGATAATATAGAAAGTAATTTGATATTCCAGTACCTTATTCTTCTTTGGACTAGAGTTTTTCAATGCGTAGATCTCAAAATAGAAGTTGGTCAAATCAAGTATTGATCTTTTGAGAAACAGAGTAAAGGAGAATACAAAGTATCAGACAACTTCACTTGTGGTAAGAGTAGGGATTGTTAAGTTTTTGTTTGTGCTATGTATGTGTATATGTGTGTGTTTATGTGTGTGTGTGTATGCATGGGATTGTCATGTAAAATGAATTAATCTGTGTTGTGGCTAAAACATTTTGAAAATCAGTGGTTTTAGATCCTAGCATTTTTTTCTTCTGTGATGAAGCTATAGTACTGTCTGAAACTGACACTGACCTCTGTAAAAAAATATCTGAGTAATAGTTGAGGGCAGGTATCTAGTCCAAAAAATTCTCATTTCAATTTTCTGCTAAAAATCAGGGCAAAGTTTCTAGGCCAATATATAACTGTTGCTTTTGTTATCCTGGTATATTATTTTGGTTTAGTTGTTGATTTGTTTGACCCTTAGAAACATCCTCAGGGGCTCAATTCTTTAACAGTCCTCTGAAATATATCAGATTGCCTAGGAAGTAGTTAAATCTATCATACAATGCCGTTGTTGGGGCTTTTACCATTTATATTTTTATTTTTCCTTTATAATTATGAACATTGGATATTTTGCTGTAGGAATTTAAATGCCCATTTATTTTAGAAATCCATGTGTTTAATTTGCTTTGAAATTATTGTTGATGGCCATTGTCTATTGCCTTTATAATTAAATCACACATTTATAATAAATATCTAATGTAATTGTAAATTTGGGTATATCCTTTATTTCCCTATTACCTTGCTGAGGTTGTGCACCACACTAAATGTCATTTCCATTTCGCTAAAATGCAACATTTATCCACTCATTCATTTACAAGATAACCAAGCAAATGTTCATTCCATGAATAAAGCTGTAATATCTATCTTGAAGATATGTTTTCTGACTAATCCTCTCTCTATTACCACCTGTCCCCATCAGCTTAGTATCAAGGTTTTCTTGTCACTCTGGTAATGTGACTTGATACACTTAAAAATAGCTCCATGTCCTAAAGTGCAGCCTTACGAAGTTGTGCACCATGACCGAAATAGCCAACATTCTCCAAACATTAGGTTAAGGCATTACAGACAATTGGCCATTGTTACAATTGAGATATGTCCTATTAATCACCCCCACACATTTGTTCCAGTTAATGACTTTTACTGTACTAGAGCCCATAGCTATAAAGAGATGAAATATAAGTTGTTAGCTAAAATGGGTCAGAATGAGAATCTGAATTGAAACTTGAAGAGTGTTTTCCAGGACTGAGTGTATACAGCTAGGGGGCAGGACAGGAGAAACCACAACAGAAGGAAGGAATCCAGAAGGGAAGGTAGTAATCATTAGAGTAATTTGACTTTTGTTCATGTTGTCCTTACTAGTTGATTCTGTTTTACAAAGCTACTTAAAGTGTGTCCTCTGAATCATTAGCATCAGCAGCAACCCCTTTTTTTAAATAGGAATTTTCAGGCCCTATCCCAAATCTACCCTATTAGAATCTTCGGAACAGGGAGCCAGTAATCTATGATTTAGCAACTTCTACAGGTGATTCCTAAGCATGTTCAAGTTTGAGTATCTCAACTGGAAGAAGCATTGGTAAACGGACCTCATAGGAATAGGGTACTGAAGAAAAATACATTTTAAATGTACTTTCAGTGTCCCTAACATTTAACTTCATTTATTTCTTGGAGTACATTTTGTTGTTGTTGTTAGAAAAAAAAAATGACATTACCATTTACAAAGACTAATCAAGGAAAACAAGAGATTAAAAGCAAGTGAGATGCATTCAATAGTGAATCAAGGAGAAAAGTTAAACAAATGGTCTTATATTGTATAAAAATCTGTACACTTGCTTCCATTGAAAGATGACTCTATGGTGACACCTAACTGATTATGTATCTGTTCTCTAATTCCAGGAAAGCACTTGCATTAAAATACCTCTGTCTAATCCCAGAGATAAAAGCATTCACATGTTTGTACAATTTTCAAGCGTTGCCCTCACTGGACTCAGGGAACTTGTACTGGATCCACGAGAACATCGCAATTACGAAGTACACTATGCTCCAGCGGCTACAGGCTGTAAAGATGAAAGGTATGGTTTGAGTGTAGCATTATATTTTATTGTTTATCCCTTGAAACTAAGTTTTTGTAATTAATATTTCTTTGCATGCAAAATCATACATTATACTTGCTCATAGCTTTATCTTTGTTGTATATAATTTATTGATAAAATACGCTAATTTAGAGTTACCATTGTTTTGTTCAGTGCAAAAATATTATTTATTGAACCATAAAATTTAATAATTCCTAAATTGCTCTTTATATACCCACTTGCATTTCACTTTTTACTAACCCAATTTTTCTGGATGCAACAAGTGAACCAATGGAAAAGATGCATAAAGACTAGGGGTTAAATTTTAAATTTTCTTGATGAAAATTATTATATATTCTCCATTAAATACAAATCATCCACCTTGAGGCTATAGAGAAAATTAAATTAAGGATGTTACACCATGTTTAATGAATACATATCTGTGTATCCATAATATATGTATATGCAATCTCAATTGTATTTTTAGACTGTCACACATCCTTTTGTCTCCCCCAAAGGTAAGTACCTGCTAATTATAAAGGAAGTATTCCAGAGCTATATTTTCATATGAAAATATACATATGTTCAGTTAAATACTTTAAATTTGATTTAATTTCTAAAAATCATTATGTTCTCCTTCCTATGGACATTTGAATTGCTTATGTTTAAACATTTTTCATTGATTCAGTGACATTTAGTAAATAGATATTAATACTTCAATAATGAAGTGAATTTCTCACCAAAAATGAAAAAATTTAAAATATAAAGTGAAAGCCTACTGTGTCACAGAGCAGTTGTCAATTATTGTATTGGAAACCCCCTATCCAGGATTTTTTCTAACTAAAACTGATGATAAGATTTTGTATATTTCTCTCCACCAGCATTATTTTTCAGCCTGATAAGTGTGTAGAGTTCTGGTATTTACTGAGATTAACTACTGAATTACCAAAACCAACCGTAATGGCAGAAATACAATGTGACCTTGGAAAGTAAGTTCTATTTAATAGATAAAATTATTTCATGGAAAAATGTTTATCTAAAAGTGTATTTTTATAATGCATTTAATCCTTCTAAACAAGATAATAATTTTTAGGAATCTATTTTCTTTCCAGGAAAGTTTTAATATTTAAACTACCCTGTGGAAGACTTATGGGAAAGAAAATCAGGTTAAAACTGATAGTAAGGATAGGCTTTTATTCAAAGTGATTATTGCAAGGGGGTGGGAGGAAGAAAGCATTTAAATAGTTGGAAAGGAATCATTGTAATAGAATGCTCTAGTTTAAGAATCTGCAAGTACCTGAAAATTAAACACAAAATGTTTATTTTATAGGGTAAAGTAGGCACAAGAAGAGATGAGCAGAATCCTTGAGGGAATGTTGGACAAAGAAGGGGAAGTGACCACGGGAGACTGACAGGAGAGAAAAGTTCTGACTGTAGGGAGCTGATTCCCAGGGAAAGCAAATAAGGGGGCATGTTCCACTACTCAGACTTGGAAACGAGAGTTCAGGGAAGTATAGGAAAGAGAAAAGGCTGACTAAAATTTGGTCAAGGCAAAGCAGAGGGCAAGCTATGAATAATTGAAATCATGTAGGCACTTGAGTAATATCCTGTCCCACTGAGATATGACTTTATGTGGTTGAATTTCTGTTACATGTTTGGCACCAGCTTTGGTATTAGTACATAGGGGTACCAAGTCACAGTTACTCCTTTTAAAGTGTATATGCTGTAATGGGCAAACCAGCACCCTTTTGCTAATTTCCCTCCCTTAGCACAACAAAAGCATATTGAATTCTCTGAGTAGCAGATCTTCAACCAGAACATCACTGCAAATGATTTATTAAGGAATTGATCTAGTGAGAAAAATAATCAGTAAGAAAATGGGGGAAAATCAGTCATAGAATAGGGGAAGCAGGAGGAGAAAAGGGAAAAAAGTTAAGCAATGGTGTGATTGCCAGTTTGTTCCCAGACTACCTGATATTGCAAGATAGTTCTGGAGCATCAAATACATCTCAGAGTTTGTCTTGTCTTGATGTTAAGATGCTAGACTTTTGAACTCACATAACTAGTCACTATAAGCTCCCTTGGCATGAAGCATAAACTCTCAGGCACTTTTGTTGTCTATAGAGTTGAGGAGACTCCAGGATGCGAGAGCAATTATCTGAAGCCTCTCAGACGAAAGATTTAACAGCACCAATGCTGAAGTTGACGAATAGGGTCAGAGAGCTAGTAGAAATCGAGGGGAAAGGGATGAGGCACCAGCAGTATCTGCTACTAGTTTTTTACAACTTGTTTCTACCTTTAATATTTAGAAAATATTAATACATGAAAACCATATGCATACAAAATTATTAATGTAAGACTATTATGTGAAATATTTGTCTAAACCAGTTTTGCAAGCATGATTTTTCTTTCATTCCATAAAAATGGGCTAGTCATTTCTATTTTTTAGAGTTTTTGTTATTTTTGAACATGGTTTTCTAAAACCTAATTTTTTTATCTAAATCATACTGATATATAATTTTAAGTCACGTAGAATTAAAAGATGTTTGATATTATTAGCAAGTTGTTTAACCAGCCTTATACCAGATTTTTATACTCTTTGGAAGTTTGCAAGTTCTTTAATTATACCAGTGTCCTTAAAATTCTTAATGCTATATGCTAGTGTGAATCTGTTTCTTATACTTTTTTTCTGGGTAGTTGAGACCTCAAGTTTCAATATGGAAACATGTGACTTTCAGTTTCTGGAAATCTCAAATGATGTCATTCCTCTGTTTGCTCTCTTCACTGTTCACAACCTCTACATATTCTCATTCATATATTTTGGATATAGACTTCTGTGTAAATAAAAATAAAGACCTTGTACTCTGAGTTCCCTTTTTAGTATCTTAATGAAGTCATTTAATGACATTATATCCCTAAGTTTTATGTAGTTTAATTTATCAATTAGTTTTATTCAGTCCTTTCATATTCCAGGAACATTAAGAACATATGCATTTATAGTTTACAATATTCAATTCCAATACTGGCAAAACTAGCAATCAAATAAAAGATCTATTAGATTCAATTCAGAAAGTTTTTCTGGGTAAATAATTAGTAAGCAGCTCTTTATATTTTGCTCCTTGGTATATTGGCCACTGTAGACTCCCTGCAGCACTCCACTTTCTACATCTTGGCCCCTTGCACATGTCAAAAAGTTATGGTCATCCTTTGCAGTGAAATGGATTTTAATCCATACAAAACTTACACGGTCTCTCATGCTTTATTAAATGTTTTAAAATGGTCTCTTTCACAGTGATAGAACATGTTGATAGAGCTTTGATTGTAATCTTTTTATTTCATGAAGCCACTCTTATTTATAATGAAAATAAGATTCTAGTTAATTTATAATCATGAATGCTTTAAGTTCGTGTCTTTAACCGAATATATTCTACTTTATGCTTCCATGTCTTTGATTTATTTTAGATTACATGTAGTGCATGATATTTGTCTTTCTCTGACTTATTTCATATTATTCCTCCACATTCATTCATTTTGTTGCAAATGTGGGATTTCCTTCTTTTTAATGACTGAATAATATTCCTTCACGTCACTCACACAGACACACACACATATACACACATACATGTGACATATTCTTTATCCACTTATCCTGTCAGTGGACATTTAGTTTGTTTCCCTATCTTATCCCTTGTTATTGTAAATAACATTGCAATGAGCATGGGAGTACAGATATCCCTTTAAAAAACTGATTTCAATTACTTTGCATAAATACCCACAAGTCTAATTGCTGGATCATATGATAATTGTATTTCTAATTCTTAAGGAATCCCCCCTACTTTTTTCCATAATGACCGTGCCAGTATACATTCTCATTAACAGTGTAACAGCCCTCCCCTTTCTCCATATCCTCTCCAACACTTAATTTTTTTTTCAAAATTTTTTTAAAAGATTTATTTATTTATACAAGCACTGGGTACAGTCAGAAGCGCGGGAGGGTGAGAGAATTCACCAGAGCCAGAGTGGAGAGCAGAACATGCAAACTGAGGAAGTACACTGCTGAGGGGAGCAGCGGGCATGGCAGGAGAGGTCTGCGCACCCTGTGGGACCCTCGCTGGCAGCCGGGGATCAAACCGGAGCTGCAGAGGCTGCCGCAGCTTTTGCAGCCTGATGCTCAACCACTGCACCACCAGGGGAGGCCCAACACTTAATTTTTTTAATAGCCACCCTGGAAAATGTAAGGTGATATCTCCATGTAGTTTTGTTTTTTTGTTTTTTTGTTTTTTTTTAAATTATGTTTATTGAGGTTAAGTAGGTTTGCATCATTGTATCTGCTCTTGGGGGTTTATAGGTTTAAACCTCTACAAATGTGTGTTTTCACACCCTGTCTACCACCAGGGCCTCTATAATCCTTTACCATGTTCCCTTCCTTCATTCCCTCTCTCCCATTCCACCACATTCCCTCTCTGGTTCCATTTGCATTTCTGCAAGGTAACACTTTTGATGTTATGTACATGTAAAGGCATTCAAAATTACAATGGATTGAGAATTTTGAACTGTTCTGATTATTCTTGCTTTGAGGAATGAATATCAGCCACATTTCTTAGGTATTTACTCATTATCAGTTTGGATATTATTGATATAATAGACAGAATTTTGTGAATTTATTACTCTGTTATTACTTCTTTATGTAACTTTTTGGCTGGATTTAGCAGTAACAGAGTAATGGGTAAATACTGCTCCTGAAAGTAGAATATCTTTCAAAACTCCATGCCAATAACATTTGGTCTCAAAAATAGAGAATCAGGGATTATTTAATTTAGCTAAATGCCCTTAGTTTACATATGACTATTCTTATTTTGAAACTCACACAACTTATTATATTAGTTTCCTAGACCTGCCGTAACAAACTGAGTGGCTTAACACAACATAAACTTATTGTCTTTTAGTTCTGAAGGCTGCAAGTTTGAATTCAAGATTTTAACAGGATCATGCTCCCTTTGAAACCAGTAAGGGACAATTCTTTGCCTCTTCTGGCCCTTTCCAGCAGTCCTTTATGTTCCTTGACTTTCAGTGCATCGCTCCAATCTCCCTCCATTATCATATGGCTGCCACTTTGTGTTCCTTTACTTTGCTCTCTAATAAGGATATCAGTCATACTGAATTAAGGTCCATTTTATTCCAGTATGAAACCATCTCTTATCTAATTATATCTGCAATGAGCCTTTAACCAAATAGTCACTTTATGAGATATATATATATATTTTTTTTGAGAGGATGCAAGTAAATCCATAACCATCATCAAGTTTATAAAATTATCGACAAGTATATGACCAACTTTACTAGCTTTGTTTTTCCTTCCAGGTCTTTCACTGAGATGATTTCTTTAGACAATCCTACACATGAAACCTTAGAGTTGCAAGGAAGTAGCAGTAATCCAGAAACGTTTGTCCTGCGTATTAGCACACCAGTAAGTATACCAGCACTAGAGCATTTCCCAATTCCAATTTTGGGGTGATATACAGTACTATCATTTTATTATTTGAATTACTAATAAGGTTTCAACTGCCTAAGATTTTAAAAGAACGTATATGTGTATCTATATGTGTGCTTACATATACATATCCCCAATTTTAATTTATCAAAAAATCATTACCGTGATTATGTCCATCTAATTTTTTTAATTAAATATATGCTAGAGTCATGCTCATTATCACTGAATTCTAAATAAATCAGTTGTACTTTATTTCTGACCATTTTAGTGATCCGTTTTTACAATCATGCTATTAATATGATTTTGATTCAGCAGTCATACTATGTCTCCAGAGTCCCAAGAGGACAGTTTTTTCTAGTATTTCATGGGTTCCTGCCCACCAAACCACTCCTCATCTTCTAGACATTGCTGGCAGATCTGCGCCTCTCATTTTCTCATTCCTTGATTCCTGGGAGAGACTAGAACCAACCGGTGATCCTCAATCACTTTTTTCTCCCCCAAGTAACAAGACAAGATCTGAAGGTATATCATTACTATATTTCCAGAGCATGATACCAAATCTGCACAATGAATGCCAAAACCACTCTTTCAAGTAAATTTCAAAATGACAATTGCAATAGATTATTTCCTTAAGTAGATTTCACAATAAATCATGAAGCCCTCCTAAAGAGATATGGTATTAAAATAAATAAAGGTGTTCTGCACCCCTATGTTTATAGCAGCACTATTTACAATAGCTAAGATTTAGAAACAGCCCAAATGCCCAAAAATAGATGACTGGATCAAGAAGATGTGGTACATATACACCATGGAATATTACTCAGCATTCAAAAAAGATAAACACATGCAATTTGCAGCAACATGGATGGCGCTGGAAGGGATCATGCTCAGCCAAATAAGCCAGAAAGAAAAAGAAAAATCCGGGATGGTCTCACTCATAGCAGGAATCTAGAAAACTTAAATAAGGGACCAGGAAAAAGAATAACTATAAGAAAGTAAAAATCAAAATCAACAAAAAACTATGAACCAGAGACACTTTTGGGGGGTGGGGGGGCGGGAGGGGAGGGATTAGGGTCAGAATGGGGGGGGGTTGCAATTGTATGGGGAATATAAAAATAAAATTTATTATTCAAAAAAAATAAAAAACTAAAAATAAATAAATAAATAAATAAATAAAGGTGTTTACTATTTACCATTTATAATTATTTAAGAAATTTACAACGTGATTTCTCTATTCATATCAATGCCAATATCATCAATCACTGGTTGCCAACTAATATAATGATATGAAATTAGTTCTCAACTACTAGGTATCAAGTTGGAAATCACTGAATATTATATTAAAATCGGTGTATATGCATTAGCCTTAGAAGCATTATATTGAAAGGTACACATGTTTTTATTGCTTAATATATTTCCCAAAATATGACTTTACCATCTGTATGTCTTTGGAGAGGTGCCTGTTTAGCTCTTCCACCCCTGTATTGATTTGGTTGTTTTCTTTTTGTTGAATTGTTTGAGTTCTTTGCAGATCTTGGCTAGCAGCTCCTTGTCAGATACATGGCTTTCAAGTACTTTTTTCTTATTTAATAAAATATCTTTGTTTTAATGGTAGTTTCTTTCATTATGCAGAAACCTTTAGGTTAGATGTAGTGCCAATTGTTTATATTCTCTTTTATTCACCTTGCTTTTGGAGATGAAGCCAATAAAGACATCTCCAAAGCCTCTGAATTTGTACACTCTTTTTGCCTGTGTTTTCTTTTCAGTATTTTATCATTTCAGGTTTTACATCCAACTATTGTATCCATTCTGAGTTAATTTTTATGGGTGGATTTTATATTTTAAGATCATATTAATCCCCTGAATTATCTAGTTTCTATCTAAATTTAAGATTATCTTTGTCTTTTGAACTAGGACCAAGAATAAGCTCACACATTGGAACTGATTATCATGATGGCTCTTGATTTAAATTAAATGTTTTAAGTTTAAAAAATATCCTGTAAGGCCCTATTTTTTTTTTTGCCCACCCACTAAGGCCCTATATTTAACATATTACATATATACCTCATTTATAATAGTATCTCTGGCTTCAAATTCCTCTTCTATAGATATGTATCAGATGTACTAAAAAGTATATCTCCAGTGGTTTCGAGAAAAGAAAGACACCATTGGTAGGAATTTCACTGCAGCAATCATACTGGTTTAGTGTAAGGGGAAATACATATTTCTGTGGATTCATGTATTTATTTCTGTGAATAGATATATAAATATTTCTGTAAATTTTAGATGAAAATAAAAGAATTTATTGAGTTACTGCTTAACTGTTTTACACTACCTGACTTTTCACTACATGCTTCTGATATATATTTCAGAAGATGCATTTGAGGCTAAAGTCACTAAAACACTTAAATCTTGTGCTTAGTGACTGGTGGAACTAGAATAGAATTAAAATCCATGTTATGTAGTATTACATGGTTTTTCCAATAAAATATGATTTCCTTCATATATGTATTTGTGTATATATGTATGTATGTATGTATAAGGGAGGAGCCTATTTTTCATATCTGTTAAATTGAAAGATATGAAATGCACCTTTTTTTTGGCTAGTGTTTTTATTGAAATTTATTTACACTCCTTAAGTGTGCATTGACGGATAATCTCGGAACATTAATAGGTGTCAGAGAGAGCGCCAGCCTAATACAAAAGTAAAAATAATTTCTGTAGATAAACCAAACCTGTATATAGAGATGTGAATGTTCTCAATAAACATGGATGGAGCTGGAAGGGATCATGCTCAGTGATATAAGCCAGAAAGAAAAAGAAAAATACCGCATGGTCTCACTCATAGCAGGAATTTAGAAACCCAAAATAAGGGACCAGGAAAAAGACTAATTATAATAAAGTAAAAATCAAAATCAACAAATCTATAAACCAGAGACACACTATGGGGGCGGGGAGGAGAGGAGGGATTAGGGCCAAAATAAGGGAGGGTGGGAATTGTATGGGGAATAGAACCAAAATGAAAATGCGTGCATTGTGCAAAAATGAAAAATGATGTAAGAATTATATAAAATAAAATATAAAAAAAACTTTTTATTGTATTTTATGGTTACCGTCAGAGTTTTTATGAGCAGCAAGAGTTGAATGGCACTGCTAAATTGCACTTTTGTTTTTCTAAAATTATCTGGCAAAATACATTAGTAAAAAAATAATTGACTTCTAAGTCAATTTTGTTTGTTTGCCACAAACAAGAAAGATATTGTTTTATCCACAGTGTAGCATTTTGATTGCATGAGATACTTGGGCCCTTGTTATATTATGATGGAGTTGCTGGCTACTTTGATAATCCCTAAAGAGGTAACTCAAGCCAGTAATATGCAGACTCAAGTTATTCCAGCAGGTCAGTGTGCATATGATAGGACAAAGAGGAAAACTTCACTGTACACTAAAGAAGCATGTTTTACAGCTATGATTAGAATCAGTTCATTTCTTTTTACATCATCACACCTACAAGTTAATTTCCCAGTGATTTGACCTTTTTCTTAGGATGAATGATGAGCTATGGGTTCTTAAATAAAATGCATGTTTTTATCTGGGGATTCTAACTCAGCTTTAAAAATGAATCCGGACTTCCTTTTATAGTGTGAGTAACTCTATGTGATCGTTGTCTGTTTACCATTGGCCATTTTACTAGTATTCATTGAGCAGCCATACCGAAGATGGACAGTGCATACATGGGATCACATTACTCATGCAAATATCAACTGGCATATGCTTATGCAAAGGGATGGCGCCTCAAATGAATGTCTTGACTTGTTTCTCTGTCTCTTCTTTCTGAATTTATGCAGCTGACTGTAGATCCTTACTCCACCAAAACGGTGCCTGTTTACTTTCATCCTTGTGTGCTTGGAAGAACAGGTCATCAAGCTTGTATCACCTTCTGCTGTAGCCAGGTATGATAGACTATTCTTGGATCAGGTCAAGGTAATTAAATTTCAAAGTTAATAAATTAGTAAATCAAAAAAAGTTCATTATAAACTATTAATTACACAATCATTTGAAATACAGTATACATTATGTGTGTACAGACATCTAAAGAAGGCATTTTTAAATCTGTAGCTTTAGATTGCTTGAATGGAGGAGAATATACACCCAGATATAAAATATAGGCATGTTAATGCAAATTTCGAATCACTGGCCAAACTGCTGGCACCCCCTAACTTGGGTTTTACTACTTGGCTTTTCATAAACTTAAAATATAAAACTGTAATAAATGTAATCTTGCAAATATTCTTGCTTTTTTCATTCTGTTTTGTCTTACACTGTTCCTGAATAATATTAATAATGTTTTAAACAAAGATATGTAATGTTTAAGCAACTCTAAACTTGCTACATGCCATTCTAAGAATTATCTCAATGCACTCTTATCTCAGGCCTATCATGGAAATATTATCAACCCCATTTTACAGATCAGGAAGCTGAGACACAAAGAAATTAAGATTAAGCAACTAATAAGTGGTCAGCCCTCAACTTGAACTGAGAACATCTGACTTTTTAGCTCATCTTCATGATTATTTTTACAGCTACCAACAAACTGCCAAATGATTGTAGCTCTCTTAGTGACAATGAAAATTTTATGAAACTTTTCACATTTATCATTATTTATTGTATTTTTAAAGATTTATTTATTTATGCATACAAGAGCTGGGGTCTAGGCCAGAGGTGTGTGTGGGGCTGTTGAGAGGATTCACCAGAGTCAGAGTACGGAGCAGAATAGGCGGATCTACTGAAATACACTGCTGAGGGGAGCATCGGGCAAGGCAGGAAAGGTCTGCTGCGCCATGTGGGTCAGCTCCTAGCTTGGGATTGAACTAGTGCTGCAGTGGTTGCCAAATAGCTTCAATAGACCTGAGACTTAATGCCTTGTGCCACCAAGGAGGCCCCCTATTATTATTTATTACTTCAAGTGTTGATGGGGAGAAAAGTAAATGGAGGCATGTGTTTTATATATTAGGGGGCACCAAGGAGCTTGTCAAATCCTACCATCTGAAAGGAAGTATACTAAAATGTTAACATAGTGGTTACCACGTCAATGCAAGGTCTGTGGGATGACTGAAGTGTCCCCTCTCCCCCCGAATATGTAATTTACCTTTAGAAATGAATTTTGATCTATTAAGTTACCTACAATATTACTGACGTACATGACCTGAAGCAAACAAGAATGAATTGTGATCGACTCTCAAAATATTAAAGAAAACAAACAGTAATCTTTCTCAATCAGAAGAGAAAATATAATGGGGATTATTTTCTGTTATGAAAATATTGTTACGAGGCAGGTCTGTTAAATCATTGCTTCACAGCAGGTTGAACCATTTCTTCTTAATTAATGGGGACAATTTAGTTGCTTGCATTTCTGGTAAAAATTTTATGTACCCAAAGATAATCTGTCACATCAGCCAGGCAATTATCAGTTCTCCATCTTGATAACTTTAGAAAATCCTATCCTTGCTGTACATAAAATTCTTGCCAAACACGGAATAACTCAATAAATTAAGTAATCAACTCAAACCTTTTGTAAATCATTTTAACACTGGTGCCTGATTACAGTCACTCAGAGCATCTCCTTCCAAGGTATAGCAAATCTCCAAGGATCATCTGTGATTAGACTTCAACCTATAATTTGTCCTTTCAGCTAATGGGGCCAGACCCTTCAACCTTTTCGTTGTATTGCTCTAAACTTTGTGATTTTTCTTCCCTTTTCTTTCTGCCCTTCTCTTTCTTTTTCATCCATCAGTCATTCAGGTCTTCCTCTTTTAATTCATCCAGTCAACATCCTGTGCAAGCAAAACTAGTTCATCCTAAAGTACTGAGCAAATGAACATTTGCAAATAAAGTATACTTCATGTGCATGTAGGCATCTAAAAAAGATATTTTCTACATAAAATTTAGGGTTCATTTTTCTAAATCTGAGTTTATAGTTACTTTTAAATATTAGGGAAAACTACATATAGATTTCTATCCCTCTCTAGAGTCCACTGATAAATATATCTGAAGTGACACGCACAGTGAGTGTGTGCTAAATTGAAATCCAGTAATGTCAATGCTTTTAGGATAAGTTTTAACTACTGCTGAACATGTTTCTTTGCTGAACTTAAGGAGATGGCTATGTTTTATTATTCATTTCATTTGTTTGGGTTTGGGTTCATGTCAGAAGCTCTGCACTGTAAAAATCTAACTTTAGAATACAGTTGTAAAGACTGTGAATACAGAGAGTAATTTCATTAGGTCTTCATAACTACCAATATCATGAACTCACATTGTGCTACTCTAAAATAGAGCATAACAGAGTAAGAGGAAAGTAGTAGTAAGCAACAAATGTAGTAATCAGACCTTCTCTTGAGTTTTTTTAGTTTGGCTCCTTTCCAGTGGATTTCAGTCACCCAGTGTTTAGATTACATTAGAGCAAAAAGTAGATAATTTACATAAAAAGAGTTGTTCATTTATCTTGAACCATCATGCTTGATTCCAGTCAGTGTGTTACATGTAATTAATTTAGGATATCATAATTGAAAATATAAAGAACTTCAGTTTGTAGAATCTCTTAACGAAAGTAATGCAATCATTTTAAGATAATATGAAGCTAAAACTTGCCTTTAATCTTCCCTACTCAGAGGTAGCATTTATGGATTTCCTGTCACCATCTCTCCTACTTTGAAACATTTTTAAATTAAGTTTCCCTCTTTCTTATCAAAATTTAGGTTTAGGAACACCTGTGTAGTCTGAAAGATTATAAACTAGGACACTTCATGGTATTCATTTAGTGACCTCTTCTACCTTAGCAAGGTGGTCAGTTCTATTCTCAAGGAACTTTTATTCTGAAGGAGTACAAAGAAAGTATTTTCTTTTTTTTTAAAAAACATTGATTTATTTATGCAGACAAGAATTGTGGTGTAGGCCAAAGGTGTGTGGGGCAGGAAAGAGGTGAGAGGATTTACCAGAGATAGCGGGGAGCAGAACAGGCAGATGTACTGAAATACACTGCTGAGGTGTGCTGTACCATGTGGGTTAGCTCCCTGGCCAGCTGGGGATAGAACTTGTGCTGTAGTGGCTGGCAATAGCTTGATAGTGCGGTCTTTAATCCCTGTGCCACCAGGGAGGCCCAAAAGGAAACATTTTCAAATAGAGCATTGTAGGCCTGTGAAGCCCATAAAAGAAAATGGTCACATTCAACCTGTTTCATTAATTTTTTTAAAGATTTATTTATTTATGTATATAAGAACCGGGGTACAGGCCAGAGATGCTGTGGGTGAGAGGATTCGTTAGAGACAAATTGGGGAACAGAACAGGCAGACTGACTGAAATACACTGCTGAGGGGAGCAGCAGGCAAGACAGGAGAGGTCTGCTGTGCCATGTGGGTAAGCTCCCTTGCTGGGGATTGAACTTGTGCTGCAGTGGCTGCAGATCGCTTCATGGTGCTGCGTCTTAACTCCTTGTGCCACCAGGGAGGCACCCCTCCTTCATTAATTTAGAGCCATTCTTCCATATCCTGTGATAACAGAGCTTACATTATACCAGATGACGGGCATAAATAGTATGGCCTGCATTTGTGCACACTTCCTTTTAATGGAGTTTCAGTTTGTGCCTCATCTTCTTGAACTTCATGTGATGACTCTGAATTTTATTTGAAATTTACCCTCAGCTTTTAGAAACTACATGCAGCATTTACTATCCAGTTTGTTAGATAAATTGACTTTTTCAAAATCTTGTGCAGACTTGTAAGGTTTTCATTATGATTTCACTTTTATGTTGCTGTAATTAACCTTGTATGTATGGAAATATGTTTAATATTTGAGTGTCTTTTTGTCTTCTTTTCTTCAGTATAAAAGTGCATTCATTGATTTTTTAGCAAATTCAAAAGGAATTTGAAAAAAAAGGAAAAATAAAACTACCTGTTAAATATTAGCAACATTTTTTTCTTATTTGCCAAAATTTTATGTGTATGACATTAAGTATTGCAAATAAAATGTATGCAATTAGGGCATATATGTTATGAATGTTTATCTTTTAACAGTTTAAGGAATGGAAATTCTGCCTCTCTGGAGTAGGACTATATCCCATGCCTCTGGATATGCAAAAAATGACCTCATATCTTCATCTTCATACATCTATTGTTATACCTTTCCAAAATCCCACCAAAGAAGATGTTTTAGTCAATATCACACTAACAAGTAAGTTGTTTTTCTCATGTCTTACATATGTAATTTTGTAATTATTAATCCAACTTATTTTGTTATAGATTCAAAGCATTTTAGAGGTGGTAGACACTAGAGAGCCATTAGCTCAATATCATTTATAAAAAAGAAAACAAAGTGTGAGAGGTGAAGTATCTGGCTAAAACCACAGCTTGTAAATTGTGAAACAAGAATCAGAAATTAGGAATTTATGTGTGGAGTCATGTTCTTCCAGTCTTATCTGTAAAGGCACATATTTCAATAAATGAGTTTGTAAGATTCTTTTCATGTTACTTAAATATGCCAATGCTCATTCCTCAAAAATTCATAAAAATTCGAGGGTTCTGAATATCTCTTTTGTGCTAAAAACTGTCATATGCACATTTCAAACCAACCTCATATTTGGAATATACATTCACACAATGTATTTTGGTTTTGTTTGATATTCAACGTGTGAAATATCGCCATGCATTGAATACCTACAGTTTCCATAAATGAAGTAGTGACTGACACATGTAAAATAGCTTCTTTGATGACTTTTCTACTGAAGTGACTATCATCTTGAGATTATTTATTCTTTTTACTTAACCCAAATGTGAAGGCAGTATTAGTAATTTCATTCCGATATTTAAATATAAGTGGATTCTTTTCCACCCATAAGTCATTGATGAGTTACTAGTAAGCAAACAATTTTCAAAATAACAGTGGTGATAAAAGGGTGCATGCCAGTTAACATATTAGTTTTACAAATACTGACTTCTGTTTTGAGGACTGATAAATGCAAACAAAGTACCCTGTTGAGTTGTTACTGACTTAAGGTTAATTATGGCATTGTGTTCACCAGCAGTAAAGTAATAAAGCACACAGTGCAGCGTAGTTATAAGTTAATCTCACTTACGGGACATGCAGAGGCAATACCCAGTGCATTTGATTTCATGTTAGAGTCAGTTTATGAAAATCTTGTCCCTGGAGGCCCTCTGAATCTTACTGAAGCACCACCAGAGTTGAATAAATATTTAAATTAAATATGTAGTAATCATTGTAAATTAGCAGAGTGTACATAGCTTTATACATGAGAAAAAAGATAAGTATAAGGAAAAAGTCCCACACACTCTCAAAACCTCTCCAAAATTCAGACAGTGAACAATATAATATATAGTTTATTAGTATATAATATACTAATAAATGGTATTGAGAGACATGAGATTCATGGACAATGAAGTGATTGTATCAAATATATATCAATCTTTGTATCTCAGTTAAATTAGATAATTTGTATTAGTTGCCTTTGACCAGAAAAAAACTAACATTTTTACTATGAGAAAATAGGTATAAAAATTTTGTTATTGGCACTTTTCAGACAAGTAATTTGAAACTCAACTTGCTTATACTTAATTATTTTTAGATACTGCCTGGGTGTCTTAGTATTTTGGACTCTTTTTTTTTTTGTCCCTCTTGTTTAGTAGCTCTCAAAGTTCAGTGAGCAGTAATTGGGAAGTTAACAACATTTTTATTTCCAGGTCCACACTCAGTTATTCTCATTCATTATTTCTGAGGTAATACCCTACCATCACAATTTATTCCAATATAGATTATTAGAAGACTACACTTCAAGAAACACTACTCTTTTGACAATTGATTCAAAATATTTTTTAAAATCATATACCACAATTAAAATAGTTTGCAGTAGTCTCTTCAGTGTATATGTATTTGCTTGTGAAATATATACATATAACACTGTGGATTCTTAGGTTTACTATCAATAGAGCTTATCTCTTTTTCATTGAGAATTAAATATAATTTATAATGCTTTTTCCAATACCCAATAGTTGATCTTACACAAATACCATTTTAGCTATAACAGAATGTATTTCAATTTAATTAAAGCTGTAGGAATATAAACGTTTTTATTAATTTGTCAGCCATTTTCACATCTATGCAACTTTGAGGTTACATTTCCATGCCCCCACGTTGCACATCCTTCACTCACCCTCCACCAAAGCTCCCATGCCAATGTCCTATCTTCTTCTTTCCTCTACCCGCTTTTACTAACCCCACTGCTCCATTCCCTCTGGTAACTGGTATGTTTTCCACTAAGTATAAACATTGGATTTTTTTGTGCTTTCCCAGTATGTTTTTTTTTGTTGTTGTTGTTGTTATTTATAATCCTTAGATAAACGAAACTATCCAATATCTGTCTTTTACTTTCTGTCTCATTTCTCTTAGCACCTTGAGGTCCATCCATTTTTCCCCAAAATCCACTGTCTCATCTTTTTCACAGCTGTGTAATTTTAACACTCTTTATTTTTTTCAATATTACAGAGAAAACCATTTATATAGCTTGATACAATTTTCAAAAACATCACTTAAATCTCATATCAAAAATTAAAAAAAGAAAAGCATTTATCTAAGAAATATCCTATTAAAGGAAAGTTTGCTTTTGTTTCAATCTTAAATTGATGATTTTTCTCTTGAATACATCCAAGTGTAATATCTCTATATTTTTATTAGGTCGGGAAAACCACAGGCACCTCCCTGTTGACCATTTCTGGGACAGCTTCTGCCATGAGACTACTGCCTTCAAGTTTAGTGCTCTCAGTCACACACACGGTATGGGATTTTTTCATTATAATCGGTCCTTCTGTATCCTATCACATTTAGAGATGATGAAAGATGCGTCTGTTGTCTTAATAAATGTTTAATTAAAATTAAATGTATAACTATAAAATGACACAAATTTTAGTAAGTTGAGAGGAAGCTATAGAATATATAACTTTTAGGTATATTCATTACATCTACCTCATTTTTCTTTCCGTAACATACAAGTACATCTTGCAAATGAATTGAGTTTTGAGATTTTGAATGGTTGGATGTCATACCACTTAATACATATGTGTGTTAGTTAAAGATGATTTGGGAAAATTAAAATCAATAGTGTGCCAAAGCTACTCACACTTATTAGAAGTAATTCCATCTTTGCAAATCTAATGATTCCCTGAAAATTTATTTTGGAGTGTATATCTATTTGTACTATATATTCCACCTGGATACTGCTGAATAAGAAAAAAAATTAAGGCATAAGAAGGAATGAAGCTGCTTAAAAACCTGAAGCTCAGTAAATATGGATTTTCTTAAAATAAAGTTTTTCATTACAAAATGTCATCAGTAGTTATGGCAATTATGATAAAATATAAATCATCTTAAAATGATTTATATTGACTAGAATTGAGTACGTTTGTAATCAATACAAAAGTACTAACTAAAATCAGTAACCACTACTAATATCCCAATAGAAATAGTTTCATGATTGGCCTTTTTTTAATATGATCATTGATGTTAGCATCCTGAATCTAACTAATTTATCTCATTTAATACAACTCCCTATAGGTGTAGGTGTTCTTTTCATTGAATTGAGGAGATTGCAATTCAGAAAAAAAATAACTTATATAGAAGCATTTCTTTGCAATGCATTAAAAGGAGTATAAGTAACAGTTCACAAATGAGGAAGTATGGATCACCAAAGAATCATTGTAAATATATTCATTGTCACTAATATTCAACTAGATGTTGATTTAAATGATAGTTACTTAAGTTTTCTTTTTTCTTTATTTTTACATTTCAATGGCACTACTTTGGTGGCTACAAGTGCTACATAGTTTCTGAAATGTATTTTCTATAATGTATATAAAGAAACCAAGAAATCCTTGACCTACTAAACTTAGAGCTTCCATATGATCCAGCAATTGCACTCCTAGGTATTTACCCAAAGGACACAGAAACATCAATTCCAAAGAGCACCTGCACTCCTATGTTTATAGCAGCACTGTTTACGATAGCTAAGCTTTGGAAACAACCCAAATGCCCAAAAATAGATGACTGGATCAAGAAGATGTGGTACATATACACCATGGAATATTACTCAGCATTCATAAAAGGTAAACACATGCAATTTGCAGCAACATGGATGGCGCTGGAAGGGATCATGCTCAGCGAAATAAGCCAGAAAGAAAAAGAAAAATACCGGATGGTCTCACTCATAGCAGGAATCTAGAAAACTTAAATAAGGGACCAGGAAAAAGAATAACTATAAGAAAGTAAAAATCAAAATCAACAACAACTATGAACCAGAGACTCTCTGGGGCGTGGGGGGCGGGGAGGGGAGGGATTGGGGTCAAAATAAGAGGGTCGCAATTGTATGGGGAATATAAAAATAAAATTTATAATAATAAAAAAAAAACTTCTTAAAAAAAAAAGTAAAATCAAATCCAAAGAAAAAAAAGATACCAAGAAATCATTACCCTTTGACCTAGTAATTACAATTCTGATGAGATCCTTTTTTTTCCTAGTTATTTTTATGTTATTTATTTTTTTATTTTTTACATCATTGTTCATTTTTAAGCAATATTTGCTTCCCCCCCACCCTCAGGTGTAGTCCCCATACAATTTCCTTCACCAATGCACCTGTGACCATCACCTCAGTCCCCTGTGCTCCTACCTCCCTCCCTCTGATCCCTCTCCCTCCTCCTCCCCTGCAGGATGTCTCTGATTTATAATTGTCTGTTTTTGTTTTGTTGTGTTTTCTATTGTTATTTTTCCCCTGATGTCTTATTTGGTTCCCCTATATTCCTGGTGTAAGTGAAACCATCCGATATTTTTCTTTTTCCTTCTGACTTATTTCACTGAGCATAATTCCTTCTAGCTCCATCCATGTTGCTGCGAATGGCATAAGTTTATCTTTTTCAGTTGTTGAATGGTATTCCATTGTGTATATGTACCACATCTTCTTGATCCAGTCATCTATTTTTGGGCATTTGGGTTATTTCCAGGTTTTACCTATTATAAATAGTGCTACAGTAAACATAGGGCTACAGGTGTTCTTTTGAACCAATGTTTTTGTGTTCTTTGGGTAGATCCCTAGGAGTGGAATTGCTGGGTCATGTGGTAGCTCCATTTTTAGTAAACTGAGGAACCTCCAGACAGCTTTCCATAGTGGTTGGACCAGTTTGCACTCCCACCAGCAATGTAGGACAGTTCCAATTTCATCTGGTGAGATCTTTTAAAGAAATAAAAAAATAGATGACTTATACACAGAAATGTTTGTTATTAAATTGTTTATAATGGCAAAAATTAGTAAAATGACACCTTTGCTGTATTTGTGGTAACTGTATGTTTGTTTATATTTTAATGTTACTTATCCATTAAATATAGATATTTTCTTTATTTTTAAATTTCTTCCATTGATCCTGTACTTTTAAAGTCTTCCCACATTGTGGAATATTGAAAATTTACCTACATTTTCTTGTTTTCTTCTCCTTTGTTTACAATGGGGGAGATATAACAGGCATCTTTTTCATTTACTACTTCAAGTCATCCAGATTTAGCTTTTTTAGCCATATATGTAATTACAATCTAATTTGATTCCCACTCAGCGTGGGAATGAACCCACGCTGCAGAAGCTGCGGACAGCTTCATAGCATGGCAGCTTCACAGCTGCACCACCAGGGAGACCCAATAATTATACTTTTGATATTTGTGTTTACAATGTGACTTATCCAATACTCAAATCATATATATATCAGATCTTATTCCAGTGCCATACAGTTTAAATCCTTTAATTTTGTTTTCTTACCCTATTTCTTTTTTCCCTATATCTTTTAAATAACTTCTTTTGTCACTTATTTCTTTGTACAGAAAAAAATGTTTCTTTTTATCAAGTTCTGTTGAAGTTCACATAAACATTTGATTGCAATTGCATTAAATTTATACACACATGTTGTTAGCAGAAAACCAAGGAATACTCAGGGACCCCAAACTGTTAAGGGGTATATGCCCTAAAAGAGAGTCAGGCCATCTACAAACAAAAGCAAAGGAAACAGACTCTTAGCATGAAAGATGTTTAATATAGTTGGTGCACATAAAGAAAGAGAAGAAGGGATTTCCAATAATAGTTTCCCTTCCCCTTGTAGACAAATGCCTAGTCAAATAGACTTGGCCTATAGGAAAGCTCCTGAGGCCCAAAAGTTTGCCACAAGTCTAAGGTACCTTCTGGCAGGGAAATACAAGAAAAGGGATAGGCAGGTCCCAAAGAGCTGGGACAGAAAGAAATAATTAAATTTTAAAATGTACCACATAATCCATCATGAGTCAAGATAACAGCTGTCACTGGCTGTGAAGGAACAGGAGCAGCCTTCCCCATATGTCTCATTGAAGTATCTTTTCCAGTTGTCTCTTCTGTGTCTCCCCTCCATGTGTCTCCTTTAAAGTATATCCCCTCCTTAGCGCCTCCTCAATTTATATCCACCCCAGTCCTTCCCAGAAGCCCCCATTTAGGAAGTCTGGCTTATGGCATACTGGGAGTTGTAGTCCAAGATGCTGGAGGCAAGTGTTATTGGAGTGTGTTTAGTTCGTTCTTTCACTGACTTGGAATTTGTTCTTCATTGTTCCTCTGATATTTTGGGGAGAAACACTTCTTTTTTAAATATTTATTTATTTTTATGCATACAAGAGCTGGGGTACAGGCCAGAGATGTGGGGTTGGGGGGTGAGAGGATCCACCAGAGACTGAGTGGGGAACAGAACAGGCAAATTGACTGAAGCACACTGCTGAGGGGAGCAGCAGGGGACTCAGGAGAGGTCTGCTGCGCCATGTGGGTTTCTCCCTGGCCGCCGGGGATCGAACTCATGCTGCAGAGGCTGCAGATTGCTTCATATTGTGGTGCTTAATCCCCTGCGCCACCAGGGAGGCCCGAGAAATACTTCTTTATAATATTTAATCTTATCCAAGACCATTTATTTCATCGGTGTTCTTAGGCTTAGTATTTATAAATGTTAATAAAGTTCATTTTTAGCTTACACTTGCAGTTTTATTTTTTAAATGTTTTTATCCCCCATTTACCATTTCTTTTTCCCCTGCCACTACCTCTGGCAACCAAAAAAAAAAACTGTTCTCTGACTCTATGAACCTGGTTTTTCATTTTTGCTATTGTTTTTTGAAGACTCCACATACAAGAAATAGCATAGGGTATTTGTCTTTCTCTCTGACTTACAACACTTAGCATAATGTCTTTAAGGTCTGTTTTGTCACAAAATGATTATTAAATAATCCAGTTAGTAATTATATGTAATGCAATTTCTCTGTAACACAGAGACCAACATTTATGTTTCAATTTTAAATTTTCTAGTAGGAAACTAGAAATTAATTGTACTTTTTAAACAATAATTTATATTGCTCATATTGATCTTCATATGACTTTCAAATTTAATTCACTTTTCTGCCGTATTCCTTATCAACTTTTCTGGTTTCTCTTGTAATTTTTCTTTTCAAGTAAACAGTGCACACCCTGCCTGTGTAGTGAGTTGACAGTTTGAGATGTATGCTCCCTGCTGTTCTATATAATAAAATCTCCAAAGGGTTTTGTTTATTCTCTAGGAATTTCTTATTTGCTTTAGTGCTATTAGGGATGTTCCTGCTGATTTGGGGAACATAAACTTTAAGGGCACAACAGAAATGGAAACTCTGTTTTTACATTGCTGTTGACATCTTTAGAGACATTGGGTTTCATTGCCCATATTGTACTCTTACTTCTAGGCATAATCTCATATACCATAAAA